AAACTGTAACCAGAGTCTGATCGCTTTAAAAAAAAAAAAAAAACTGATTAATCAGTTGTCAAATTGTTGGAATAACTTATGTCCAAAATAAATATAACAAGGAGTTCACTGTTGGCCTGATCTTTCTGTAAAAATTATTCATTGATTGAATCAAAATGTCTTAAATCAGTTTTCAGAACACGTTTTGGCTGATCAATCCTTTCATCAAATTGCTGTAAGATTGCCTTTTATGTCCATCAAACGGTCCACACTTTAAGACATTCTCTCCATGTCTGTGACATCAAAGAGATGTTAAATGTAGGAAATTCTAATTTTTGAGAGGCAACAAACACATTTATGTTTTTTAGGTTTATTTTAAATTATTTTAAATTCTTGCAGTTTGTCTACAGTTTGTGTTTCTCCTTACCTTTGTATGTCGCTTAAAGTTGGCTGCCTTGTGTTGCTCTTTATTGTTTAGCACAATAGGCTCCAGAGAAACTAAGTTTCATCCCCTATGTATGCCTTTGAATATGAATATGTTGACAGTAAAGATCTGTTTAGTCCAAACAATCCCTTTGATTTTATAGAACCCTCTCATCATTGACTGTTGAACCCAATATTTACTTTTCTCTCAACTGACTGCATGTTGCTCACATCTCTATTTACAGACTCTGCAGAAAATCACAGAATCTGTTTGAGAAGGGCTGGATTTTGGTACCAGTGCTCTGGCTTCTGTTTTTATAGTGCAAGTAGCATCGTCCTTTAGCGAGTAAGTTTATTTTTTTTTTGAAAGATTATTGTTTGGGCTTTATTTGAAAGGATAGCTACAGAGAGATCAGAAATGTGGTTAGTGCGCGCGTCCCATGTATGGAGGCTGTCGTCTGAAGCGGCCAGCGTCGGGTTCACTTCCCACCTGTGGCTTCTTTCCATGTCATTCCCCACTCTCTCTCCCTGATTTACGACTCTATCCACTGTCCTATCTATCCATTAAAGGCACAAAAAGCCCAAAATAAAAACAAAAAAATAAAAAAAATAAAAAGAAATGTTCATGCAATGCAGATGTAAGTGGGGAGGACATGCATCAAAGGGCTGAGGTTGGGGGTCGAAGATTTGTTGAGGACTGTAGCCTCTGTATATAGGGTGCCTGGTGCTGCTCTGCACTAAATTAGAACTTATTTAAGCGGGCTTTTGCTGTATGCATGAAAAAAGTCAAAAGGGGATAAACGCAATCAGTATTAATGCAATTTGGATCCAACTGGCAGTCAGTTAGTGTCAATTTAGCTTTAATTAAAGTCTTAAACATACGCCTGCAAAATTCCCTTCTCAGACTGTATCTCACAAGTCTTCTCCATTCTTACATCCTACGCTGCTGGTCAAACTATAAAAAGGCAATGCACGGTAACCAAAGTCAAGGCTGAAGGTCCTTTATTTCTAATCTCTGGCTACACCTGAACCCCTTAAAAGTTGGCCATTGCTCCCAGAGGTTATAATATCATCAAATAATAGCTGATCACTTCAAAGAGTGCTGGTGATTAAACCAACTCTTTGCTTTTTCTCTACACACTTCCCTATATGTGACAAAGACTGTATTGTTTCTCCTCATGCAACTTCTCTCTCCTCTCTTCTCTCCCTCTGGTCTTCACCCCTTCCTTGCTCCATAGTCATGGAAAACAGTAACCGGGGCAGCGAGGTGTTGGGTAAACAGTGGTTCTGCAAAGTGCTTTTTCCCAGCCTGTGTATACCTGGGTAATAGAGGCAATAATGGAGTTTGTTCAGGCTAAGGTAATCCTGGTGCTGTGAGCACAGCATCTGCCGCTGTTTCTGTCTGCTGCTGTTCTGTTCCACAGCGGGGACTGATGTTGTTGTAGCTGTCACAGTGACTGTCCCACACAAGCCATTTGGAAGCAAAGCAGTGTGTGTAAGTGTGTGTGGTTGTGTACTTTCTACTTAAAAAAAAAAAAGAAGAAAAAAAAACAATGCGTCCAGAGAAACTGTGGTTGTGCTGAAGATGTGTGTCTGTTTGAGGGAGGGCATTTGTCTGTCTGTGTGTGTGCGTCTGTTTGGTGTTTGTGTGGAAAGAGAGAGAAATAATCAAAAAAATATATGTGTTTGGGTGTTGTAGCTCACCTTTGGGAGGTGGGATAAGAACACGGCTGGCGGCTAGGAATGAATTTACGGGGCCCGATCTCCCAGAAACAATTTCTTTATGTGGGTTACACACATTTAGAGTGGCTACTCGCTCCCCCTGGGCCTCAGCTCACCACACATAGCTACTGGAGATGGCCAATGAAATACACGACACCTTTTATGGGACACATGCTTTTTATTTATTTCTATTTATCCCCTGTGGCTTTCCCCTCTCAATCTCTCTCTCTCTCTCTCTCTCTCTCTCTCTCCCTCTCCCTCTCCCTCTCCCTCTCTCCCTTTCTCATCCTTCATGTGTCTGTCTCTGTCTCGTTCCTGTTTCTCATTCTTGTTCTTTCTTTATTCATCCCCAACTTCTCTCTGCTCATCATGCGCAGCTACAGGAGGTGGCAAATGAAAAAGAGATCACATTTTAGTGGACACATACTGTACTTTTCATTTCTTCCTGGCTGCTCTCTCTCTCTCTCTCTCTCTCTCTCTTTCTCTCTCTCTCTCTCTCTCTCTCTCTCTCAGTGGAGAGGAGCTTTGAATTCCCAAGGCCCAGAGAGCTTATGGTTAGGAGAGAAGGATAAAGGTAGTGAGTTAGGGAGATGCAGGAAAAGCTTGTTAAAGGTGTGTATCGGGAGACGTTAAGAAGAAGTTGAATATGAATGTATGAAAGCTTGTTGTATAAATCGCTTTGACACTGAGTGTATTTGTTTATGCATGTGTGTATATTTGTACACTTTTGGTAATGTTGCTAAAAGAAGCAGTTTGATAAAGTCTTGTGTCCTGCTGAATCCATACTACACAAGAAGCAGCTCCGTCCATGTCTGTGAAGCAACTTTGAAATTTGGCAGGGAATGACAAAACACTCGGTAAGCACTTTCCCTATTGTAAGGTATGATGCCCTGCGTTGCTGTTCATAAACAGCCATTCATTTCCCACACAATCTGGGGCGTCCATGTGGCAGAGGGATTAAGATGCTTACATGACCTTTATTGCATCATCTCTCTCGGCTTCATTTCCTGTCATCTCCACAATAATCACTGTGTAATAAAGGCAAAGGCAAAAAGCAAACACACACATTCATGTCTATTTACATGCACACAGTCTGGACTAGATAGTCTTCTTCTTGATAATCGGTGTGTGTTCGTGTTGCTGTGCTCTCATTATGATCAATCAAAGGTGTACCGCCTGACCTCCCACCATGCCACACTTTGTAATAACAGGACTAAGCAAATAATGGGACCGACACATTACTCTTAACTCAAACTTTAGATCACAGAAAAAACGACTCTACAACTCCAAAAAATGCCTCAAACCTCTCAACGATCTGAGGCAATGCACTGTTCTCTCCACCATGACATCATCTTTAGCTCTCTTTTTCACTTCAATTGTTGGCCTTGTTTCAGAAGAAAACAAAGTAATTCAGCAATGGGATTGATGCTTTTACTAAATATTTTAAACCTGGCACAGAATTCAGATTGTAACAGTTATCTCCTCCCTTATCTTAGGTAAGCTGAAAACCACAAGTGCTAATAAACTGGTGATGTTACAACATTGTAGGTTAGGTGTCAGCCCGGGGCCATATTAAGAATACATCTCACAAAAAAATCCAGGAGCATCTAATCACTAACCATGCACTTGTTTCTATTAATGCATTCCTGTATCTCCCGGAACCAACTGATTTTCCTCCCTGCTAAATGCTCCCCGTCTCTCTGCATCTTCCTCTCCTGTCAGTCATGGCATCGCTTTCTCCGGTTTATTTTGTAACTCCCGGCGTTCTTCTCTTCCTCCTCTCTTGCATGTTCATCACACATGCTGATTAAAACAGAGGTGGTGTAAAGACAGATGGCAGAGCATTTCAAAAATATGTCTTAACCGTCTTCCTTTACATCATCAGACCAGCTTGTATGCACACAAGGTCATGAAAGGCCCTAAAACAACCATTAAAAGACATGGCAGTAGACTCAAATTGCCACCCTGTTACTTCAAACCGTGTGTGCTAACATTTCAAGTGCTCAGGACAACCTCTGAGACACCTTAAACTACTTAGGCCTGCTCTCTCCAAACTGATGCACCTCGTTGTCACCAATAAAGGTCATCTTATGAATAAACATCTACTTTCCATCAGGTGATCCATGGTGCCTTGCAGGAGACGACAGGTTAAAGGAAGGTTTCCCGACATGCTCCACATATATATATATATATATATATATATATATATATATTTACATTTTTAATAAGTAAAATAAGTTCCTGTGAGTTGAATGCAACTATACTTTTAAGTGGATGGGAGGATGGGAAGGGAAACGCAAAGAACTCATCTGTTCTATCCCCATGAAATACCGCAACAACATCCTTATGTTGAACCTCTGGGCATATCACATCTCATGCAATCAATGAGATTATGCCAACTCTTGATTATGCCAACTAACTCTAACTAAAATAGTGCCATATGCCCATTTACGCACTGCTGAGACCTGCGTGCCCCACTGTGTGCGTGCGTGGGTGTAAGAGAGGGAGAGAGAGAGAGAGAGAGAGAGGGGCTATAAAGGCTGTGCAAAATCTGAAACAACCGCAATCATTTGTCTTTGCTATAACTCCCAACAGTGACATTAACACTTGTGCCGAACCAGAACATGATGGGGTATTATCAGAAGTCATTTTTGCGCATGACTCTCGTACCTTCATGAAACAAAATCCTTCCCTGTTCACTAAAGATGAACTGTTATTCATTATGTGCCTTAGAGATAACCAGTAGATTAAATACTCGTGTTATAGTAAAGGTGTGTCCATCAAACACTTTATTACACGCACTTTTAACACAGTTAACACAGCCGGCTGGACAGGGCTGTTCCTTGCAGGTGTAAAGTCAACCCAGAGATCCATACCTGTTGGTGCAGTTTTCTCTTGTTGAGTTAGCCAAGTAGTTGAACCTCTCTCCTCATAGCCGCTCCTCTATCCGACACGGAGGAGAGGCTCGCATCCCCTCTCCACGAAACCATAAAACGTCTCCTCTCAGGTTCGCCTGCAGCGGAAAAGTTATACCATACCATCCACCTCCGCAGCCGGGCCAGAGGGAGATCCGGAGCCGGTGGCAGGTGTGACCTCCTCGGTTTAAACCTGCGCGCTGCCCCCGCGGTTACTCCGGGGCGAGATAAGGTCCCCTGAAAGTTCCGTTTCTCTCCTCCTCTTGCGCACAGTGGGTGAGCGAGAGGAAACTAAGTTATTAAGCCATAAAATCATGAAAGAAATATCCAACTTTTACCTCCCAGTGCAGCCTTTTCCTTAGCGCCCAAACCCCCCCTATTTATCCTGTTTTAGAGAGGCGATGAGAAAGTAGCCCTGCGTGGCGGGACAGAGGTGCGATGCGGTCGGGGAGTCACGCAGACTGTTGTTGCGCTCCTGTAAATCCGCCTGGAAGATCGAGAGCGCTGCTTAGCTCAGAAGTGGATGAGCGCCCCCTAGCGGTCTGAGCAGGGAACCGCTGGCTGGAGAGATGCATGCAGCAACCAACGCAAGTGACGCTGTACAGTAATGTGAAGGAGGACATATGGACTGTGCAGAGAGGCTGTGGATATATGATACTAGCTGATGTTTCTCTGCTTCGGCTGGTGGACAAACAGAGAGAGATATGCCCACACACGCACATACACACAAAACACACACACACACACACACACACACACGCACACACACACACACACACACACACACACACACACACACGCACGCACACACACACACTCCATGTGCAATAAGACAGACACACAGATGCGTCACCATAGACTCCCAGAGGGCTGGATGCCGGATATCTTCTGAAATGTTTGTGTCATTTCAAGAAGGATAAAACAATATTGGCTCTTCCTCCCTCCTCTCTCTCTCTGTCCGTGTGAAGTTCAAATTAAATTGAACCCACTTCAGCTGAGTTACGGCATGCATTTCCCAGCGGACCACACGAACCAACAGGGGCAAAAGGGTGATCAACACCAACTGACCTGTGTGCGTGCGTGCGTGCATGTGTGTGGTCTCAGTGTCTACCACTGCCTGAAATGACCTGAGATGCCCAAAGAAGTTTACTCACAACAAATGACTTTGTCCAGTCTCAGTCAGTCTGACTGGTGCAGTTCATTTGAGAAGGCAGTCTCAGTGGCTCTGGGGTGCAACTGTGTGACTGTGCATGTGTTTGTGTGTGTCTGTGCGTGTCTGTTTGCACGTGTGTGTGTGTGTGTGTGTGTGTGTGTGTGTGTGTGTGTGTGTGTGTGTGTGTGTGCGTGCATTCCCTGGCTTCAAGAGAAACGATAGACAGTAAAAGGTATTAAGGCCACAGATGTCAGGCAGTTGAGAAACTTGGTAACACACACACAAACACCAGTGAGACAAAGTGCAGCTGAAGTTCCTGCTGTGTGTGTGTGTGTGTGTGTGTGTGTGTGCGTGCGTGCGTGCGCGTGTGTGTGTGTGTGTGTGTGTGTGTGCTTTGGTGGTTGTGTAAAGTATATAGGAGTCATCGAAAGAGAGCCAGAGTTTGTGCATGTGTGTGATGTAATCGAGGTGATGATGTATGGTTGCAGCATGCATGACAAGGTAATCGATCCATAGCGTGTGCATGAGAGTGCTTCATGCCACTCATTCATCATTGCACCCAGTGAGCTAATCTGTTATTCTAACCAACACTTCTGACTACGGGTCCTTCTTCTCCTTTACAAACTCATTCTTTGTGCTAACATTTTCCTATTCCCCCCCCCACACACACATTTTCATCCATGTTTTTTATTTTCTCCTCACATTATCTTCTTCATACTACTATGTTCTCCTTCTCTCCCTTTGTTTCTATCTCTGCATTGCCTTCTAAAGTAACCCTGGTGAATCATGAGTACCCTAGCCATGGGATTGTCTTCTTCACCGTTCTCTGGCAGCACAGTCAAACTCAGCATGTGGATTGCAAGATAACAAATAGAGACACACAGTGCACGCAAGATCTCAGGGAAGCTTGGAAGCCCACGAAAATCAACCTAATTCCTTTGGGATCCGTGGCATTTGCACACATACATCCTCACCCCCCCACACACACACACACTCTTAACACATACACTCCAGTTGGTGGCCTCCCAATGACACAGTGAGGGATTTAGTATGTGCCAATCAGAGACATTTGTGCATTTCTGTCAGAGAATAGATAGTCAATTCCCATAGAGAGAGGGGCTTTACAGACCACATGACAGCCTTGGAGAGGCATATTGTGTGTAAATGTGAGCACACACACAAACACAGTCACATAGAGAGCAGATGGAAATAGTCAGTCAAATAGATTTGTTACACGTTTCCTTCGATCGCTGATGCAAATGGTAAATCAGCTGAAATAAAGAGGAAGTGGAGACAAAGGCTGCTGGACTTTGAGATAATCCTGACAACCACGAGGAGTCTCCATGTGGCGCTCCATGCACTTTATATAATCATAGTTGTTAGACAATGAACCATGCAACCTTATAAAGATAAGGTTTAATGTAATCCCTTTAAAGAAAAAAAAACAGGCAGCTACATGTCTGTCTTTTCTCAATACTTTGACTATCCTAGACTTCCCAGGGTTCTCAAAATATATGTTATTTTTAATGTATACATTTTAGATATTTTAATTATATCATGGAATTCAAGTTGGACTGTGCTGCCTCAGGAAATGTGCTTTAATAATTGTATTACTTTTATCTGACACTGAATATCGTGGTCTAAAATATCTACTGGATCTGCTGATTTGGGGGTCAATATGGCGCTCAGGTCTTTGCCAATTGGTTCAAGTGGATATAACGAATATTACTGAAATCCCAAGGTATCACTTGACTTTGTGAAAACAGAATTACACATAAATTCTGTTGCTCATAGTGATGAATCTAAAGATAATTATAACAAAAATAAAAACAAAATCAGCTTTAAGAGTTTCATCATGAGTTTTAGCTCATGGTTTGGTTAACTGGTTAACTGGTTTACTATTACAGCACTCGTAGCAGGTTAGAAAGACAACCATTTTCACTCAAAAGTACCCAAAACGCACTGTGTAAAAAAATTACTCTCTTTGTCCTAGTGTGTCACTTCCCACTATAAGGTCGCAAGCCAATATGCGTTGGTGTATTTTAGATGTTTCTAGCTCTATGACTTAAAGGCCTTTAATACTTTTCAAACCATCCTGAGTGCCTGGACCTGGATCATTTACACCAATGATTTTTGGTTTTCAGTTTTCCTCAACCATTTTTTATCAGACTGACACCGTTTGAACACAGCTTGTAGACATAGTTCACCATGAAGCAGCCAGAAAAACAATTATCCTAGTTAGTAGAGAATTTAGAAGAAAAAAAAAGGGGGGGGGGTTATATTATATTAGGCTAAGAGTCTCCAGGTAGCCATAGAAATATCAAAGTTACTTCCTTGCAGCAGGATATGTAAATCCTGTAATAAATGTAACAGTATATCTATTTCCTCTGCTAAACAAGAGTAGAAAGAAAAAAAATATCAGCCCAATAGACCCCACTCAGGCAGGAGTACATAGGGTATTTGTTGAGGGAAAATGTTATGTGTGGATTTAGTGTTTGACTGCATATTCACAGCATCAGAATGGTGTATGTGGGATAGCCTTCAAATAAATTACAGTGCCCGTGTTAATTGTAATGAAGGAACATTTGAACAATGGAATATACTACAGTACAGCAGGCTTAGCTCTACAGGCTTTTTATAGGATCTGTTCCCAGTGAAAAAAAAATATAGATCATCATTTCCCTCGCCCACCAGCTGTTGCAGTATATTCAAATTGGCATCACAACACCTGCCCTAACAATGCTGTCTAACATTTATATTTCATGTAAAAACATGAAAGTAAAGATGAAAGCTTGACAAGTATAATGTGCACACATGTGCTGCCAGATGACTCTTACTACCGATACCATGCGGAACAGAGTGCTGAGTGCGCTGCTTCATTTCCAATAGACACAACACACAGACAAACACACACAAAACACAAACACACACATTGTCTTCTGTCTTGCGTTGGCAGGCGGTAATACCAGCATTAGCATATGAAAGACAGCAGCTGGAAGGTGTAGCTGTCACTGTTGTTGTTTTTGTGTTATGCATTTGGATGGCAGCTCCTGTGTCGTTGCTAACCCTTGCCGTAGTGTTCACTGATTCACTCCTGCTTGTCTTCTAGTTCATCTCTTTCTGTCTGTCAGTCACGCTCCTCTTTGTGTTTGTGGGACTCCATGTGTGACAAATCACATCCTTGTGGGATTTTAGAGGACATGCTGTACGTTTCTGTATAAAAAGTGGACACAGCGCTTGACAAAACGGGTGTACAAGTGCATTTTGAATATGTTTTGTGTCATTTTCTTGGTTTACGATTTAAACAAAATTCCAGGAAATTCTTCCTTATATCTAGAAATCTCAGTATTCATCTATTAAACTGCTGAAGGAGACGGTTTCTACTCTCAAAGTGCCTCACAGGAATAATGCACGTTACATTGTTTAATAAAAAGGGACAGTAGATGACTTATCACAGACTGTAAGTTGAGTTGAAAGACAGATCTGCCCTCAGCAGAGAACACTTTATCTCACATCGCAGCATGGTGCAACACACTAACTCTCCTCTCTCTCCTCTCTCTCCTCTTGTCTGTTTCTTCTTTTCTCTCACTCAAACATGTGAGTGTTCAAACGGACTAATTCCTTTAAAGCTGGATGAGCATGAAAGACCTTTTTTTTTTTTGGCCCTCATTGCTAATTAATGGCCTCACGTTGCAGCATGAAAGCTAGATGAGCCTTGCTTGAGACTCATTAGTGGAAACTACGCTACAGTTAGTGCCATTACAAGTGCATTACAGACATCCTAGACACACCGTACACTGGTTTCCTCTCAGTCTAATTCTTTCACTTTAAATGTCGCTTACAGTACCTGAAATGAGCCGAATGATCCAATTGCACTAAAAGAGAAAAGACACCCCCCGCTCATATGGTCCATCTCATTTTGCAGCACTCTGTTAATAGATAGAAGACAGCTGTGATCTGCCAAACTGTCTTATCAATACAAATGTGATCGAGGTTATCAAAGATGTCTTCTGATCGCGAAAGATGGTCACTGTTAAAACTTTATCATCACATATCTTCACTGTCTTTCCTTTGCAGATATAGCAATTTGCTACACTGATACAAACTTCTGTGTCTGAATTACACGCTAGCTTGTGACACTGACCCTGTACTCCAGAATCATGAAAAAGTAAACGACAACCTGGAGCAGCTGCTAGAACTGTGGTTGACAAATGCAAGCAGTTGAAATAGCATTTAATGAGATAGCTTCCCTTTCTTCATTTCTTCTAACTTCCCTCCACTCTAAAGCTGCCATGTTGGGCTAAACCT